CAACGTCTTTCATAGTACTGAAGAGCATTTGTTAATAGTATACAGGGTCACAATTTGATTGAAGAGAGCGAGCTTTTTTTCTCTTTCTTTTTCCCTTTTATAGCAAAGTCAAAAGCTAGTTGTAGCCAGAGTAATCAGTTACTTTGTAATCATTTTTGTAATCAGTTACTAAATAATAATCATAGTAATCGTAATCGTTAATCAATTAATCATTGTTCAAATAAATCAGTAATTTTGATTAATTTTTGTAATTTTTGATCATCAATCAGCAATTTGTAAATCATTTAAGTGATAATTTATATTTTATTACAATCTGCAACGTGTTGCTTCATATTGCTATGACACATTCAAACGTGTTATTCATGCAGAGTTGTGCTGTTCAATATAATTAAATTTTATTATTAAATCGCATGCAGTTTAAATAGCAGACCTACTAGTAAACTAGAGACAATATTTACGCGTATTCCTTTGCTGCATAATAATATCTATATTGTTAAATTTAAAATAATTTATCAAAATCTATGTTTTTCGCTATATTTTTGGTATAAGAATGAGTGCGCATCATAATAAAAAATCTCAAAATTTTGATCATTCGGTAAGTTTATCATTGAAGTTCATTTCTATCAAATCGTACAAAAGATTGTACTCAAGAACAATATACATAAGAAATTCAATTGATGGAAAATTTTTTTGAACATATTTTGATAAAATTATGCATATTACAAAACAACACAAATAATAATTATATAATATAAAATATAATATAATATAATATAATATAGTATAGTATAGTATAGTATAATATAATATATAAAAATTAAATATAATTAAATATTATATAAATATTATATAAATATCATTATTACAAATAATATAATTAAATATAAATTAAATTAAATATAAATATAAAAAATTATATTATATATATGAATATAATATAATATATAATAAATAAATAATATATAGAGTATTATTGATAGAAGTAAACTACAATCATAATCAAAAGTGCAATAATTCTACAATTAATAATTTTGATCACTTCCTCTATTCATTAATCGGCGATCAATATTCTGATTCGAGGTTAATTATAAACGTTGGTCATTTATCAGATTACGTTTTGTCCAACTCTGGCTGTAGCCAATTAGATTCGATTTCCTTCTGAATTGCCAAGAACGAACTTCCGGTGGGTCGCCCAAGGAATCGGAGGTTTATGTTGGTATCTAGATGCTAGTACACGGTTTGCTCAAACGGTTCAATAATAACTTCATATTTTAGTCGTCCGTACCAGTTTCATTTATATGATGAAATTCTGTTTTATCATTCTCGCGAATATTTCGAATTGAATTCATGACTGCAAATACAACAGATTCATTGCCACAGCGCAGCGATGGGAAAAAATCGACCATGTCCTGTATTTTTATCCAATCTGATTAGATTCTATTGCAACAAAAGACTCGATTTACATTTGTTGTTGTTTTATAATGCTTTAATAACGCAGTGGTCGCTGTTCTCTCGTGAATCATTTGAATTTTATTCTTTGTAAAAACCTTGTTCTCATTGTCAGTCATTCGTTTTTCATTTATTTCTAAAGAGAATTGGAATTTTTTGATATAACAAAGAGATATAACGTGATGGCGTTAAATCTTTTTTCTCTTTTTCTTCTTGTTAAATAGTAATTTAACTTATATAATGGTTATTTTATCATCATTATATAAGTTGACAGACTACTTTAAAATTTGCAGATAATTGGAAATATGAAGACAGCAGTCGCGGATTTTAACTTGTTATTTTATTTAAAAATTAATTAAGTTATATTTATTGCGATGTGTGATAAATATAAATATCAATCTGGCAGAATATATATTTTTAAATTACTAAAAAATTGTTGAAATTATGGGTTAAATATTAAATAGACATTTTATAGATATTTCACGTTTACTTAAAATCTCGTATTATTTTTCGAATAACTTTTTTCTTGATATACTTTTTTATAAAATAAATTAATATTTATTATAATAATATATTTACTATTATTATACTATTATTATAATAATATTATTATAATGCTATAAAAATATTTATTTTATAAAATTATATAAATATTTTATTTTATAAAATTAAATTATTTGTAATATGTCCTAAGTATGTATAAAGAATTATTATATAAAAGAATTTTCTGTTAATGTCATGTATGTAGATCTTATCTAAATATATTCATTTTTTATACAAAACTAATGTTTCGACATTTATATATATGATACAGAATTTCATTATTTACTTTAGTGCTTATTATTTAAAAATGTGCATCAAATAAACAAAATATGTATGCTATTGTCAATTGCAATTATTAAAATTTTGTAATTGTTCATATTGTTTATGAAAAAATAAACAAAAAATTTGATATAAAATTTTTTCGGTCAGACTTTGTTTTTTTGAGAAAATCGAGTTAATTCGAAAATTCATGAGATACGCGTACAATTGCAACTTGGTTTATTATTTTGTACTTGATTGTTTCTGTTCGTTGAGAATGATATAATTAAAATGACACGACAAATGTTTGTTGCATACGTAATGAATTAAACACAAATTAACAGATTCTTATATACTTTCTAATTTATCAAATCGCTGTACAATTTTATTTTAATTAAATAATACTTTTAACGCTTAGATTGAGTAACCGTATTTTGATATGTTTCCGTGATGTTTCATAATTTTCAAACTCGATTTTCTTGATTGTGGATGGAAAAATTTTATATTAAATTATTTTACATTATTTATTTTTTCATGTAAAATCCAATGTGGTTGTACTACAACTTCCGGTTCACAAATATATGTATATTTATATATTTATGTTATATAAATATATAGTTATACTTGATTTCATTTGTAAATAATATGCTTTACACTTACACATTTCTAAATACCTAACTAAATAACTCTTTTATTTGTCATGTAACAGATAAAAAAATCACAAGGGACTTGTGTAAATATTTTCTGAACATTCATGCAAACATTTTAACAATAAAATGATACACTTATAAATTTCTGTATACGCTTTCATAATTCTTCGATAAATACTCTTAATAAAATTATAATGATGCGCATTAAATATTTCGATTAATAACTTTTGTGGAATAAACTAATACTCGATTGTATATACAAAGAGAATAAAAGGTAAACGATTGAGAGATAAAAAAACGATAATCCTTAATCAAAGCAATTATTTATATTTGTTTATACAGGGTGTCTTATTATTCAAAATATAACCAAGAACGGGGTGATTCTGCGTGAAAAAATAACTTAAAAAGAAAGAACGAAATTTTTTTACTTAAAATTTTCGAGAAAGTCAAGTTTGAAAGTCCATCAACTATATTTAAATGTAGCTAATATAGAGAACGAAAGATTATTGAAAATATGCGAAACTAAGTCAAAATATAAGTCAAAAATATAAAATGCAATTTTTTCATAAGATATATTGTTTTTAAGAAAATTAAGTTTAAAAATTTATTAAATACAACAATACACATTTACTAAGACAATTCTTATCTGAATATATTTAAACTCTATTCTCTTGAAAATGAGACTTTAAACAGAAAAATTTTATTGTTCATTTTTTACTTATTTTCTCAAATAATCTCATAACAGATTAGCTACTTCTATTAACCCACAATTAAATAAATTCAAGTATACTTGATAAATTTTCGAATTACGATTTTTTCGAAAACAACAACTTAAATGAAAAAATTTTAGACGAACGAAAATATTTAAGTACACAGGATGCGTCGGAATAAGATGTACAGCGGATAGAAAATGATATCTCATAAAGAACTAAGAATAATATTAAAACATTAAGAATAATATTAAAACATTAAGAATATAGAATAATATAGAATATAGAATAAAATTAATATAAAATAAAAATTTTTAATTTGAGACTTTATTTCCGGGAAAATCAAGTTTTAAGATTTATTAAGTATGCTTGAATTTAGCTAATTTTGAACGTGACAGAAAATAATAATTAACAGGAAGTTATTCCACGTGCAAAAATAAGTAAAAAATGTAGAATGAATTTTTTTCATTTAAAGCTTCATTTTCAAGAAAATAAACACTTTGAATACGTTTCGCAAAAAATTACTTTGGTACATATGTATGTGCTTGATAAATTTTCAAATTAGATTCTCTCGAAAACGAAATATCTTGCACAAAAATTTCATTCTATATTTTTTACTTATTTTCCCTCTTGTTAACTATTTTATTCTATCACGTCTAGAATTAACATCAAGTCTATCTGACAAATCCTCAAATTCAATTTCTTCGAAAATGAAATCTCAAATTAAAAAAACTTTAGTCTACATTTTTTTCTTATTATTTTGTGAGGAATTATCCCTTGTACATGTTATCATAACGCATCTTGTATAAATACAAATATTTCATACTTCAATTAGCAACAAACCGAAAAACGTAACGAAAATGTTACAGAGGCAATCCTTCATGAATTATGAAACTTCTGTTCATTAATCTTCATAATTTGGTCGGTAAAAATGAATTATGTTGCTCTTCCTGATTCATATCACGCTGTGTTACGTTCTATAAATATCTTTTATCGTGAATTTTGTCTTGTGAATCTTATCATTGTGAATAAATTATAGTAAACTATAGATAAGATACGAATTTTTCATTACTTCGAATTGCACTGTTTCATTAATCAACAAATAAATAAATTTTAACTAAATAAATAATAATTAATAAAATAAATGTAACAATTGAGAAAATAAATAAATTAATAAATGAATGTGAAAAACATACAAGTTTTTTTCGAATTGTGTCGCATAAATACTTATAAATAAAGAAAAGAATGTTTTATAATTTTAATTCGAGTAAATTTAGCATCTCTGCAATTTCATTTTCAAATTCATTATGCAAATTAAGCAACAATAGTTTAAGAAAGTAAATGAGTCAACGTTCATTTGAATTTTTAATGTAGCGCAGGTTTCACTCACCGGAAATGCGGACAAATACAGCATTCTGTTCTCCACTGTCCACCGTTATCTCTGCACTTCTCCTCTGTAACCATAAAAGAGTTTACATTTTATTTGTCTGACCGATATAAATATAGAAAATGTGTAAATTAAGTGACGACATTAACACAACATTGAAAATAATTTTACTTGAGATAAAAAATGGTATACAACGATAGTGATGCAAACCTTTCCTACGAATAAAATAGATGTTGATTAAATGCATAAAATTCATTTTGAAATGATAGAAATTAAAAATTGAGTTTATAACATGTTCGGTTAATGAAATAATTTCACTCAAGTAAGACACGATGCTAACGTCTTGTTAATTAAGTACAGTAATAAGTTCAGTCTTATAATTAAAGTCTTTTTAATTTACATATAGATCAAATTTTTTTATTTTTTATGAACGGTGATAATATCTCCATAGCAATTTAAGAGTATAAAACCAGAATATTTACCTACTAGATAAAGATAATTTAAATATTTATAGAATATTTATCGAATATTTGCCTACTAGATAAAGATAATTTAAATATTCATAGAATATTTACCTACTCGATAAAGATAATTTAAATAAAAATTTTTTTTGTTATTTTATATGTAATATATAATATATTACAGTACAGTTTTTATTTATAACGTTAGTTTTATGATCGTAATGTGAATAGATGGAATGTTTTAGCATTTGTTGATATTTATACACTGTAATGAGGTTCGTTAAACTATGGAACAAAGTTTTCGATTTATTTTCTTAAAACAATAAAATATTAATGCCTGAAGTATTTAAAGAGTTTTTTAATTCAGCCTCAAAATTAGTTAGAACCTTTCTTTTCCTAATAAAATTTGCTGTACATTGGAAAAATATATAGAGAAAAAAAATCTTTTAACTACTTGTACGGGCAACTGATTTGCGAACCATAACGAGTGACCAAACCGTATACAACAATTTGTCGCTTTCTTTTTCTTTTGAACTCGTCAGTATGATATCACTGGATAGAAATTATTAAGAAACAATAAACTTATCATTTGTTTTGCCTGGGATACATTTAAATATATGTACTTAAAATTGAAAAAATGTTACAATTTAGAACAAAAAATTCTCAACGTGCGTGGCACGTCATTCCAGCACAAGAAGTTAATCGATGATATTTCATTTATCTTATTCGAGAAAGAACAAAAAGAATTTTCAATATGAACACTTTTGGACAGTTCCCTTCCAGACTTCCGGAACTTCGACAACCAATCCGATCCTCGAAACTAAATTCCTCGCGTGAGAATCAGTTCTCTTTTCTCGTCACGTCACAGACTCCGATGTGAACTTCCCCCGAGAAACAGAAGACTCGAAAACTGTATCTGATGTCGAAAATACGAGCCGGATTCGGCCGGAGAATAACGAACGAGAACAAGAAGAAAAGATTCAACGTCAGTGGCGAGAAGAGAAACGAGGAAGAAGGAAGGACGATAGGAGGGAATAAAGAAAGAAAAAACGAGGGAAAAGTGTAGAATGTAACCCGATGACCGATAGATAGATACAGTGACCTGGCAATAGTCGACGATTGAAACTTGCTGGCAAACTTCTCTGTAGCAGATCAGGCCGACTGCCAATTGCAAAATTGGGCGACCTGGATTTCGAGGTACCTGGGTACCGTTTCGACGATACGCTGGGACGATTACCAACTCCGTGATAGGCCTGCAAAACAGAAGAATCCTCGATGGAACGACAGGATGTGTACTCATTACGCCGGACACGTAGGAGAACTTGGCAGAATTTGTGAATTCCGTAGATCTTTTGGACTAGTCTCGAAATCTTTCGAGCACGCTTGATATATGTAACTCGTTACGTAGTCGATACACGTTGCACACGTATTTTAGAAAGGAAACGCGACATACACTTGAGAAAATAGGTCTCTGGTTGTCTTTTGTTTTAACTAGTTAGTTTAGTTTAGTTTAGTTTATTTACCTCCCATTTCCTTGCAGCTTATGGAGAGGGGAGGGGGGACTCTTTACTTACAATTTCCATACAATCTTGATACAAATTAATCTTACACCTTAGCACCTTATCTGTACTTAACTTAACTTAGCTTGTCTGAGCCTTGAATAACAAAACGAAACAAAACAAAATTAAGTAAGGTAACGTAAAGTCTGTTAATTTAACTTTTAAAACTAGAAACAAATTGTCTAAATTGTCTAATCAAAGTTGTAAGAAACAATTGTCTAATCTAAGTCTGTATCCTGTTCTAGAAATCTTTGGTGTACGTAAACAAAGTAACTAGGCCTACCTTTTAACTTTATCACGTTAATTGCACTGTAACGTCTTCAGTTTCGTAGTTCAGTCAAAACTCAATTAAATTTTTCATGCCTCTTCTTCCCCTCTAGTTATCGTTTGTTTTTATCAGAGAATTTTATCAAAGTTGGGGAGAATTGAAATTTATGAAACATGATGTCGAATCTGTAGGTATTATTGGGTATGGGTATAGTCATTAGATGTGATGTTCGATATATACGCTATTTGAATGAGTTTCAATTTGGGTAAAATCTATGCATACAAACGACGAATCGTAGTAAATCTGTTCTCAATTTTAATTTTAATGAATTCTAATTAAATAGATGCAGACGATTTGAAATTTTCTACACACTTTTAAGTCGTAATACTGGATTGATGTATTCCCTGATTTGTGGTATGTCGCAGTATGTCGCTGTATGTAAAATTTGCAGTTTAATTTTTGAATTTATATGTCAGTTTCAAAAAACTGTTATGCACTCATGAACTCATATCAAACACTGTCTGTATCGTACGAAAAAATTAACATTATGCTCCTTTCACATTGAAATTTACATGCTGGTTCAAAGATTTCTCACAAAAACGTTTTCTTTCTAATCCATAACGATAGACATTTCTTTTATTTAATAGTTGTTCTTATAATATATCATAAGTTCCATCATAAGGTAAGTCTTGCTGCTTGATAATTTGTATTTTCAAATGTGCTCAATAGTAAATTTATTAATTATTAATTATTAAATAAATTTAATTATTTATTTATTAATTATTAATTGTTTTTATTTTTTAATTAATAATTAAATTTAATTATTAATTATTAGTAAATTTTTATAATTACACGGTTTTTTTAACGAAAAGTATTGTATGAACAACGAATTTCTAAGAATTTGCCAAACTTGTTAAAATATATTGAGTAGACAATAATAGTAAATAGTATTATAACTTATAGTAAAAGACAACATTATAATAGGAAAAGAAAATTTATTTGAGATAAATGTGATTAATTCGTTATATATGTCAAATAAAGTGTTACAAGCTATTTTCTCTCAAAGTACAACAATTATCGACGAATTGTTTTTTTTTAATTTAATAGCACCAAGAGGCTGATTATTTAGAAAACAGGTGATGTTGTTTTTGAGATAATAAGTAGTGGGTCAAATGGAAATCCGCTTTTTCAATGGAATACCATATCAATGTCTGTTATCTATCTTCTAAACGTTTATTGAATTTTTGAATTATATCGTTTCGCATAACATTATTCGTGTCATAACTCACAATATGATTCAAAGATTAAATAAATGTCTAGAAGTAAATGGTCATTATTTTGAACATTTAATAAATTGAACTTAAATACAGAATATATCTATTTTTATTACTCTGTGATACTTTCAAGTAGTACTATTTTCCATCCCATAACTTCCTTCAGAATATCAAACAGCGTTTCAACTAAATGACCAGAAATTAATAGATTCTACCTATTAATACAGCATCTACCGATTACTTCATAAGCATCACTTGTTTTCAAAACAATCAGTTTCTTGGTACCATTTAATGAATTTAAAAAAAAAATTTGTCGACAGCTTGTAATATTTTATCTGACTCATCTTGTATAGACTGATTCTCTTTCTATCATTTGATCATGATCATTTTATTCATTTTTCGTTTTCATGACACACCTCAAATACTTAAATGCGCAAATACTTTTGCATGATCAAACATTTTTTAAATAAAGAGTCACAGTTATATTCCGAATTTTATAAAATCGGTGGGGAAATGAAAGTAAATTTTTATTTTCTATTTTTATAAAATTAAAATATCTAAATATAATATTTAGAGCTATTTAATAAAATTAAATATCTAAATGTAAAATATCTAAAACAAATAAAATTAAAATATCTAAATATAATATTTAGATCTATTTAATACCTAGCTTATTAACCTTCGATTGTCTCTTATTTCTCCAATTTAATTTTTCTCTTAGTGTCAAATTGACATAATGGTAAAACAATAAAAAGATAAATAGTTAAATCTACAAATTCTATTATCAACAGTAAATAAAATAAATTTCTATTCAATTGCGTATAACCTACTTTCAAATATCTAATTATGTTGTGATCTTACACATTTTACACGGATTTTGTATGAAAAATATGTATATCAAATTGACACAAGGATGAGGGTTAAAATATTAGAATCATTTATAATCTACAACGACACGCAATATCGAATATCTTCAAGTAACCTAAACTGTTTCGTATATAAACAAGAAGGCTACGTAGTTAATTAATGCAGCTATAAATAAGAAACGACGACAGCCACAGAATAACGACATCGACAATAACGTAAATCATGGCCATCTCCTTCATAATGCAAATGAAACTAATGTCACGATCATCGATCGAAGTAAATTGATATTGAAAGAGTACACAATCATTTTCAAAAGAAAAAAAAACGTCCATCTTCCTTTTATGATAACAACCTTATTCTGAACTATGATCAGTCTCGTTGAAAGTAAATATTGTTAAAGAGCAGACTTCTAATATTAACTTGTAATATTATAACGATATAATTTACTTGTAAAATATATTCGTTGATAACTTCATCAATTATCCAAGAAGCTAATAATACGTTCAATTATATCCACAAACGAACTAAATCCAAGGTAGTGATATATCATAATTTTCTAGAATTATATGCCTAACATGCATTCCAAAATGCATTCAAAATATTGCAATGGAACATTAACGCTGGCTCCTTTCATTGCT